TATCGGTTTCAGGTATCGAATCATTTGCATGAGTACTCAGGTGCTTAGTATTGGCACCCATACAGATACCGGTATCATTGCAACCCTACATGAGTCCAGTCACCTCCCTGGGTATATGGAAGGGTTTATATCCACTCTACCTCAGATGGTTGAATACTTGCAGCAACCGGAGACCAAAGATGTGGCAGCTTTTTAATACATGGGCTGTTGGTAAGGCAAACACGAATATTCCCTCTTTATTTACTGGTGACCTGTCAGCTAAACACTTTGTGGACCCTTTTAGACACATACACTGTATTGCCAAAAGTATTGTCCCCGCCCCTCCCAATCATGTGATTCAGGTGTTCCAATCCCCTCCATGGACACAGGTGTATACAATCAAGCCCCTAGGCATGCAGACGGCTTCTACAAACATTGGTGAAAGAATGGGTCGCTCTCAGGAGCTCAGTAACTCCAAGCGTGGTCCCGTGATCGGTGGCCACCTGTGCAATAAGTCCATCCGGGACATTTCCTGGCTACTAAATATTCCACGCTCAACTGTTAGTGGGATTATAACAAAGTGGAAGCAACTGGGAACAACAGCCACTCAGCCACCAAGTGGTAGGCCACGTCACATGACAGGGCGGGGTCAGTACATGCTGAAGCGCACAGTGCGCAGAAGTCGCCAACTGTCTGCAGAGTCAATAGCTAAAGACCTCCAAACTTGGCGTGGCCTTCAGATGAGCCCAACAACAGTGCGTAGAGAGCTTCATGGAATGGGTTTCCATGGCCGAGCAGCTGCATCCAAGCCTTCCATCACCAAGTGCAATGCAAAGCGTCGGATGCCGTGGTGTAAAGCACGCCGCCACTGGACTCTAGAGCAGGGGAGACATGTTCTCTAGAGAGACCAATCACGCTTCTCTGTCTGGCAATCCGATGGATGTGTCTGGGTTTGGTGGTTTCCAGGAGAATGGTACTTGCCTGACTGCATTGTGCCAAGTGTAAAGTTTGGTGGAGGGGGATTATGGTGTGGGGTTGTTTTTCAGGGTTGGGCTTGGCCCCTAGTTCCAGTGAAGGGAACACATAAGGCAACATTTTGGACAATTTCATGCTCCCAACTTTGTGGGAAGAGTTTGGGGATGGCCCCATCCTGTTCCAACATGACTGCGCACCAGTGCAAAAAGCAAGGTCCATAAAGACATGGAGGAGCCAGTTTGGGGTGGAGGAACTTGACTGTCCTGCACAGAGTCCTGACCTCAACCCCATAGAACACCTTTGGGATGAATTAGAGCGGAGACTGCGAGCCAGGCCTCCTCCCCCGACATCAGTGCCTGACCTGACAAATGTGCTTCTGGAAGAATGGTCCAACCTTCCCATAGACACCCTCCTAAACCTTGTGGACGGCCTTCCCAGAAGAGTTGAAGCTGTTATAGCTGTAAAGGGCGGGGCCAACTCAATATTGAACCCTACGGACTAAGACTGGGGGGCCATTAAAGGTCATGTGCGTGGAAAGGGCGGGGCCAACTCAATATTGAACCCTACGGACTAAGACTGGGGGGCCATTAAAGGTCATGTGCGTGGAAAGGGCGGGGCCAACCCAATATTGAACCCTACGGACTAAGACTGGGGGGCCATTAAAGGTCATGTGCGTGGAAATGCCGGCGGCCCAATACTTGGGGCAATATAGTGTATATAGTCTGTTGTGGCATATTGCATTAAGGCAGCCCATTCATTATGAAGAGGCCTCCAAAGCACCTCAGCAGACCAATCATTAGCACCTTTTAGGTTTTCCAGAGGCACCACGTTACATGTTATGTGCATTAGTTTTGTGCTGTACAATGCATTAGGGTGTCATTCGCTATGACTGGTTGCCCCAATGCATGGCACAGGAACTCAGGTTCTGGGACTGTCATTCGGATCTTATCCTCACAACCTTGTGTGTGACCAACCTGAAACAAGCATGCCTCCAGTGAAGTCTAAAATCCCAGACTGCACTTTCTTCCAGGCCAGTGGCTGACATGGTAGTGAGGCCAAGATCAAAATAACCCAAAAGTCTGCAACTGTTTGAACAAATTAGCAACAGCCGATTAATTCTACCTTCCCAGCGTCCTGCAGGTGGTGCTGCCTGTAGCCGAGTACCCGAGGATCCGTCCTGTCCTACATGGCAAGATGTCGGCTACAATGGGCAGGCATTGAGCCTCTCTGGGTTCCTGTACTGGCTGGTACTGTATGCTGGAGTCAGACTGGAGGCTTCGGGTGCCTGGTACTGATCAGAGCTGAATCTTTGTGGGGAAGGTTCTCTTGGTAGCTTGGAAATTGCATTTGGGGAGATTTTGTGAAGTTGCTGCAGCAGATATTCGTTTGTACTAACCAATGACCTACAAAGAAGAGCAAAGCCTGAGAAGAGCAGCAGTTATGTTACAAAAAGCCGTATTCCAAAACAGCAGATAAGTAGAATATAAAAATAAAATATAAATAATCTAATATAATATAAATAAAATAAAATATAAAGATAAATAATCTAATATAAATAAAATATAAATAATCTAATATAATATACATATAATGTATAATATAAAAAAATATAAATATAAATAATATAAATATAAATAATAGAATATAAATAAAATATAAATAATAGAATATAAATAAAATATAAATAATAGAATATAAAAAAATTATAAATATAAATAATATAATATAAATAAACTAGAAAAGCTACAATTTCTGGGGAAATTGTGTGAAGTGTTCTTGCCTCCACCAGTAGTCTACAACTCGACTCGACTACTGCAACTCCCTCCTCACTGGCCTGCCTCGCCGCTGGCTATCCCCGCTTCAGTCCATCCTGAATATGGCTGCCAGACTCATTCACCTTTCCAACAGCTCCGTCTCCACCACCCCCCTCTGCCAATCCCTCCACTGGCTTCCGATTGCACAACGAATCAAATTCAAAATCTTAACACTGACGTACAAAGCTGTCCACCATACTGCCCCGAACTACATCACTGACCTAATATCCAAGTACGCCGCCCAACACGCACACTCCGCTCCTCACAAGACCTCCTCCTCTCTAGTTCCCTGGTCTCCTCCTCCCATGCCCGCCTCCAGGACTTCTCCAGGGTGTCACCCATCCTCTGGAACTCCCTGCCCCAACCCATCAGATTATCACCTACTCTCCTCTCCTTTAGGCGCACCCTGAAAACCCATCTCTTCAGGGAAGCCTACCCCACCCCCTGCTAACTTGCCGACCTCCTCCACTCTTCCTACCACTCCATCCCCACAGCTATCTCCTCCTGTGCCACCATCCCCTCCCTCCTAGATTGTAAGCTCCAAGGAGCAGGGCCCTCGATCCCCTCATGTTTTGCATTGTATTGGTATTGTTCTGTCACATGTTCTGTCCCCCTCTGTAATGTACAGCGCTGAGCGAACTATTGGCGCTTTATAAATACTGTATAATAATAATAATAATAATAATTGACCCCATAACTCTCCATAAAGAGGACCCGTCACTAATTATGTCTTATTGACCCCATATCTCTCCATAAAGAGGACCTGTCACTAATAATTTCTCATTAACCCCATATCTCTCCATAAAGAGGACCCGTCACTAATTATGTCTTATTGACCCCCCATATCTCTCCATAAAGAGGACCTGTCGCTAATTATGTCTTATTGACCCCATATCTCTCCATAAAGAGGACCTGTCACTAATAATTTCTCATTAAACCCCATATCTCTCCATAAAGAGGACCTGTCACTAATGATTTCTATCACAAGGGATGCATGCATTTCTTGTGATTAGAATAAAAGTGAATAACATTTTTTGAAAGGAACAGTGCAAAAAAAAACCCCAAAAACATTAAATACTTTTTTTTATAAAAGTTTAAAGTGCCCCCCGTGCTCGCACGTAGTGGTGAACGCATAAGTAGGCCATACCCACATATGTAAATGGTGTTTAAACCACACACGTGAGGTATCGCCACAAACATGAGAGCAAGAGCAATAATTCTCACACTAGACCTCCTCTGTAACTTTACACCGATAACCTGCAGAAATGTTTAAAGCGTCACCCATGAAGATTTTTATGTACTGCAGTTTCACGCCATTCCACGAGTGTGTGCAATTTTAAAGCGTGACATGTTGAGTATCTTTTTACTCGCTGTAACATCCTCTTTTATATTGTACAAAAAAATTGGTGCATATATTGCTTTTTTAATCAAAGTGTATTTTTTTTCCAAAAAAATATATATATTCATTTTTAAAAACAACACATTTCAGTTTCGGTTTTTGGCCAAGTGCATTTTGAATTTTTGGTTTCGGCACCAGAATTTTCATTTTCACTAACTAGATCCATAGGAAATCATGTTAAATGGACCGTATCTTTCCCGAGAGGAAGCGGAGGTGCTTCCTGGCCTATTTCAAACCCCGTTTTCAAAAACTCTTCTTGTTTCTCATTTCTACAGATTCTATACTCGGGATCCACTCATAGAAAAGAGTTTTATTGGTTTCTTTATGTATGCATTGCTTGTTTTGCCACATCTTTACCTGTTGCAGGATTTGTTCCAGGCGCCACTCTGCAAACCTTTCCATTTTCCTGGTGAACTCTGCAGACCCCCGGAGGACTGTTTGCTGCGCCTTTTATCATTTACAGCATGTGAGTGCATATTACTTCTTTATTTGCTCATGGTTAAAGTCTACACTTAGATGGTGGTGCCCCCTGTGCCATTATTCCTTTACAGCAGGGGTAGGCAACCTGACAGCCGCAGGACTACAAGTTCCATCATGCCTCTGCAAGTCATAGCTGTAACTGTCAGTTTTGTAATCTTTGCAATGACTCATGGGAAATGTAGTTCCACAACAGCTAGAGAGCCGCAGGTTGCCTACCCCTGCTTTACAGGGCTATCTAATACTGCTTTACATGAAAATGGCAATTACCTTTGACTGTTGTGTAGGAGATTCACAGTCTCCTGCAGTTTATTGGTCTTGCTCAGTTGTTGCTGTAATGACTCCACTTGGAGGCTTAAATGCTCGTATTTCTGCCGCAGATCATCTGCAATATAGGAAAATGGTGATCGCTTACTACAAACCCCACTGTACCTTGCTAGCTGGCATACCCCCTTCCGATGAATGCATGGGCTATGGTCTTCTGTAAACCAGACCACATGTATTATATACTGTACATAATACTTTCCAGTTGTCTGTGCTTTTCAGCCATGACATTCTATGCTTCAGCACAGGTGTTTCTATTACCCTGGGATCGTTGTTTTACAGGGCATAAGCACAGTGGGGGTTATTTACTAAAACAGGGGCATGCAAAATCTGGTGCAACTGTGCACAGAAACCAATCAGCTTTCAGATTTTATTGTCAAAGCCTAATTCCTAGATTGTAAGCTCGAAAGAGCAGGGCCCTCGATCCCCTCATGTTTTGCATTGTATTGGTATTGTTCTGTCACATGTTCTGTCCCCCTTTGTAATGTACAGCGCTGAGCGAACTATTGGCGCTTTATAAATACTGTATAATAATAATAATAATAGGACAAGTTAAAGTAAGGCTGGCCATACATTATACAATTTTCTTGAGAATTTTGCTTTAACATATGATATGAGGTCAAACCTAAACAACACTTTCAATTGTATCCAATTAGGCAGGCCCTTGTGCTACATAGCTGAAGGTAAATCTAAAGGAAATTGGGCAGAAATTGGACAGAAAAGTGGATAATGTATGGCCAGCCTTACAAGCTGATTGGCTACCATGCACAGCTGCACCAAATCCCCCCCCCCCCCCCAGTCTCCTAATGTGGCCTATGTAATGCCTCTGTGCAACACCAAACTGGGCATGGCTTGTTAAAGGAGAGGCAATCAGACATGTTGCAACCATTTAAATACACCGATAGTCTGGAACTTGATTTATCTGCAATGTGCCTTCCCTGCCCTGCTAAAGAAAACACAAACAGTTGCATAGTATGACTATTTATTTATTTCAGGTACTTATATAGCGCCATCAAATTACGCAGCACTTTACATATATATTGTACATTCACATCAGTCCCTATCCCTCAAGGGGCGTACAATCTAAGGTCCCTAACCCTCAAGGGGCGTACAATCTAAGGTCCCTAACCCTCAAGGGGAGTACAATCTAAGGCCCCTAACTCACATTCATACATACACATACTAGAGCCAATTTAGACAGGATCCAATTAACCGATCAGCATGTCTTTGGAGTGTGGGAGGAAGCCGTTCAACAGAAACAGCAGCAGCTCTCTCTCTCCTCATTGCACAGAGAGGCAGCAGCAGGAGCCATTGGCTCCTGCTGCTGTTAATCACAGCCAGTGAGGAGAGAGAGAGAGAGGAGGCGGGGCCGAGCCGACTCTCTGTGTCCCGCTGTCTCAGCAAAGCCTGTGAGACCAGGGAGTGAGGGGACAGAAGAGCTAAAGACGTGCACAGTGCTGGGATCAAATGAGGGATCAGGTAAGTAAAAGGTGAGGGGGAGTGAGGGAGGATACTGATGCCTAAACAATATTTTTCCCTTAATGCCGAAATGAATTGAGGTAAGAAATGTTTATGCTTTATTACCACTTTAATGTAATTAATCTTTATAATGTTTTAAAAGACTGGCTGTAGCTTGCAATTATACAAGACAGCAGCCTTTTAATTCTCTGACTCAGTGCTAATTAAAAAAATATAGTTACTGTTGTAGAGATTAGTAAGCAGAAGCCATGTGACCTAGGCTAACGTCAGCACGTTTTTTATATTAACACAATTCGCAAGGACATTGCAGCAACTCACACGCCTTCTCAACCCGTCCCCTCTCACACAGCTACCCCCATCCCCCCCTCCCCCTCCCCCTTGACATAACCCGCAGGGACTTCGTCGCTGCTCAAACTTCTCCAACCCCCTTCCCCCTCACTCAGCTACCCCCTCTTCACCCCTCTCCCACGGCCCCACCACTGCTCTGACCTCCTCTCCCACCCCACCCTACATTCCTCATACTGAAGCTCCCCCAACTCCGCACCTTTGACCTTACTACCATCGAAGAAGTCTCCAAGATCCTCTCTGATGCCCGACTCACCACCTGCCCCCTCGACCCTATCCCCTCACAACTCCTACGACCTCCCTCCCCCTCCATCCTACGCTCCCTCACCCACATCTTCAATCTCTCCCTCTCCTCCGGCACTTTCCCTTCCCCTCTGAAACATGCACACATCACCCCCATACTTAAAAAGCCCTCCCTGGACCCCAATGACCCGAACAACCTCAGACCCATCTCCCTGCTCCCATTTACTTCTAAACTCCTCGAGCGCCTAGTCTACGCCCGCCTATGCTCTCACCTCAACGACAACAACCTCCTCGATCCCCTACAGTCCGGCTTCCGTCCCCTACACTCCACCGAAACTGCCTTACTCAAACTCTCCAACGACCTGCTAACCGCCAAAGCTAATGGCCACTATTCAGTGCTCCTACTCCTTGACCTCTCTGCGGCCTTTGACACAGTCGACCACCCCCTCCTCCTCAAAAAACTACACTCCCTCGGCCTCAGAGATTCTGCTCTCTCCTGGCTCTCATCCTACCTGTCACAACGCTCTTTCAGCGTTGCCTATAATGCCACCACCTCCCTCTCACTCCCCCTCTCTGTTGGGGTCCCTCAAGGCTCTGTCCTCGGGCCCCTTCTCTTCTCCATCTACACCTCCTCCCTTGGCCAACTCATACACTCTCACGGCTTCAACTACCACCTCTATGCCGACGACACACAAATCTATCTCTCAACCCCCCACCTCACCCCCTCGGTCTCCGCCCGAATCACACACCTGTTGAGCGACATATCAGACTGGATGTCGCTCCACTTCCTTAAACTGAACCTCTCCAAAACCGAGTTTCTTGTCTTCCCTCCTGCCCGGACACCACCCCCCACTGACTTCTCCATCATGTCCAACAACGCCACCATCAAACCCGCCCCGCAGGCCAGAGTACTTGGTGTCATTTTGGACTCCAACCTATCCTTCCAGCCCCAAGTCCACTCTTTAACAAACTCGTGCAGACTCCACCTCCGCAACATTGCCAAAATCCGCACGTTCCTAACCCCAGAAACCACTAAACAGCTCATCCACTCCCTCATCATATCACGACTCGACTACTGCAACTCCCTCCTCACTGGCCTGCCTCGCCGCTGGCTATCCCCGCTTCAGTCCATCCTGAATATGGCTGCCAGACTCATTCACCTTTCCAACCGCTCCGTTTCCGCCACCCCCCTCTGCCAATCCTTCCACTGGCTTCCAATTGCGCAACGGATCAAATTCAAAATCCTAACACTGACGTACAAAGCCGTCCACAATACTGCCCCGAACTACATCACTGACCTAATATCCAAGTACCGCCCAACACGCACACTCCGCTCCTCACAAGACCTCCTTCTCTCTAGTTCCCTGGTCTCCTCCTCCCATGCCCGCCTCCAGGACTTCTCCAGGGTGTCACCCATCCTCTGGAACTCCCTGCCCCAACCCATCAGATTATCACCTACTCTCCTCTCCTTTAGGCGCACCCTGAAAACCCATCTCTTCAGGGAAGCCTACCCCGCCCCCTGCTAACTTGCCGACCTCCTCCACTCTTCCTACCACTCCATCCCCCACAGCTATCTCCTCCTGTGCCACCATCCCCTCCCTCCTAGATTGTAAGCTCCAAGGTACAGGGCCCTCGATCTCCTCATGTTTTGCATTGTATTGTTGTTGTTCTGTCACATGTTCTGTCCCCCTCTGTAATGTACAGCGCTGAGCGAACTATTGGCGCTTTATAAATACTGTATAATAATAATAATAATAATATGGCAGGAAAAAGTCACTTGTCTCCTCTATAATAATGTGATTTGGTGCCCTATTAATTAACATGAGGTAGTAATTGTAATGCTAGGCCCACTTTAATGTGGTCAGTTTAATTGAAGGGTTATTGGAGCCTTTCGACCTACCTTGTAATAGTGGCAAAATCCCTCCCGTTTCCTTTCGGGCCACTTGGCTCTCTAGTTTATGGACTTTGCTTCGTAGAAAATGATTTTCTTCCATAACTTTTACCAGCCTCAGTTTTACAGATTCCTGAAAGAGTAGAAAACACAGTATACTTGCTGTTCAAAATGAACATCTGTCAAACTTATTAGCCATTTAACAGCACTGTACACTTTCAAATGTTTATGTTGGTATTAGTGTAGTTATATTCCCTGTGTATTTTGTTTGCCTTACCTTGTAATGATGGGCTCACATGTAGCTGCAGTTTGCCAGGGATGATCAATTCCCCTATGTCCATGTATTCATTCACCTAGCTTGTCCCTATTCGCTAAAGGGGCAGGGAATGCCTTGTTCAAGGTCACGCAGCATCCAATCAATGCCTTGCTATTTAAGCCTATAGTATGGCGTATCTGTAGGTACAATTAATATCTCCAAAACTTGCACAGCTTAGGAGATATTCACAGAGCATGGTTATGATTAAGCACGTGATTGTGTGAAACGCGTTAGCAGGTCCTGTATTCATGTCCTGGTGTTTTGTGTGTCCTATGGATCAATAAACACACAATATATTCAACAATCATCCGGGGTGCGACTGACCCTTCTTCCTATTGCATCGTGTGTGGTGGTGAGCCAGAGCTTGCATCTGTTGTGGATTGATCTGGATTGTTTGTCTGAGTGGTATACCTCTGTTCTTTGGATGCAGCCGTTGATGTCACTGGCGAATGCGCTCTGAAGGGATGGCACAGCGTGCCTGACCTTCAGAGCTCTGTGCCGCGGCGTAGGGCTCCTGCATGCATGCGTGAGTGACGTTATCGCGGCTCCAGCCATTTATACTGTTGGAGCCTGTAAACCCGAAAGGAATACCGGGTAAAGATAGCGGCGCTGGGAAGCTGTGACACCGTGGCGCTGGAGGGCTCCGTGTACAGGTAAGTCTGTCATAATGTACTAGTATGCCATGCTAGATTTGTAACCTCTAACAAGCCAGGGCCCTCTGTTTCCTCTTGTACCAAATTGTATTGTAACTGTTATGTCTGCCTCCATTTTGTACAGCGCTGCGCAAACTGTTGGTGCTATATAAATCCTGTATAATAATAATTATGACCTAATCCTGCAGGGGGCCCGTTATCTTTGTTTTGTTTTTTTCCGGCGGTTTACTACCTCTTCTATGCTCTGCCTGTTTGTGGCTGTGTCAGATCTAGTTATGGCACCTGCAAGCAGTGCTAGGCTGAGAAACCCCAGGGATTGTGGGATATGTAGTTTCTTCACAGGAAGTGTCAGTTCATTAACCTTTGCGCAGTGCCATGCCATAAATTTGAACTAACAGAAAATTCACCAGAAGGTGAACACTGACTCTACTATAGGCTGCGTGTACAGGTAAAAAAATGTATTCATTTTATTTCAGGTACTTATATATTGCTGTCAATTTATGCAGCGCTTTACATATATATTGTACATTCACATCAGTCCCTAACCCTCAAGGGGGTGTACAATCTAAGGTCCCTAAGCCTCAAGGGGCGTACAATCTAAGGTCCCTAACCCTCAAGGGGGTGTACAATCTAAGGTTAAAATCTAAGGTCCCTAACCTAACCGGGTCCCAAACCCCCCTAACCCTCAAGGGGCGTACAATCTAAGGTCCCTAACCCTCAAGGGGCGTACAATCTAAGGTCTCTAACCCTCAAGGGGCGTACAATCTAAGGTCCCTAACTCTCAGGGGGCGTACAATCTAAGGTCCCTAACCCTCAAGGGGTGTACAATCTAAGGTCCCTAACCCTCAAGGGGCGTACAATCTAAGGTCCCTAACTCACATTCATACATACACATACTAGGGCCAATTTAGACAGGAGCCAATTAACTTACCAGCATGTCTTTGAAGTGTGGGAGGAAACTGGAGTACCCGGAGGAAACTCACACAGACACAGGGAGAACATGCAAACTCCAAGCAGGTTGTGCCGTGGTTGGTATTTGAACCAATGACCCGAGTAATGCCAGGCAGAAGTGTTAACCACTTAGCCACTGTTCTGCCCCAGATTAAACTTCAGCTTTAACTTTGTAACTAGGGGCCTTACCTCAGGACCAAGACCTGCCATATCCAATCCCCCTGTCCAACAACAGTACTTAACCTCTTGGCGCCGTTGAATGCAAATGTGTGGCCTCCCGGTGTCTGGGCCTAGATGCCGAGCAGCTGCACATTTGCGTTCTATAAAAAAAAAAAAACCATACATGCTGAGAGTGCGCGCCCTGCACGCTCCCAGCACACATGTCCAGTACTCACGGAAAGGTCCCAATCTCCTCTTTCGTATGTGTATGTATGAATGTGAGTTAGGGACCTTAGATTGTACACCCCTTGAGGGTTAGGGACCTTAGATTGTACGCCCCTTGAGGGTTAGGGACCTTAGATTGTACATCCCTTGAGGGTTAGGGACCTTAGATTGTACACTCCTTGAGGGTTAGGGACCTTAGATTGTACGCCCCTTGAGGTTAGGGTTAGGGACCTTAGATTGTACACTCCTTGAGGGTTAGGGACCTTAGATTGTACACCCATTGAGGGTTAGGGACCCTAGATTGTACACCCCTTGAGGGTTAGGGACCTTAGATTGTACACTCTTTCCCTTTTAGGGACTGATGTGAATGTACAATATATATGTAAAGCACTGCGTACATTGACAGCGCTATATAAGTATCTGAAATAAATAATCTGCTTGTATTTTGTCTTCCCTGGAGTTGACTTTTGAACACTGGTGCTTTTGTAAACACTGCGAGCAACACAGATAGCATACCATACTGTCAGCATCCTCCAGCAGTCCGTGGCTGTTCCTGGAACCTCGCAGCTGATCGCCCGTTGGGGCCGAGTCTGAGGTCATCAGCTTGGTAAGCAGCTCTCGAGCCGGAACTGGCATGGAAAAAAAAAACAGCAGGTTAGCCTAAAGCAGGGGTGGGCAACTGTGGCCCTCCAGCTGTTCTAGAACTACAAGTCCCATGAGGCATTGCAAAACTGATAGTGACAAGCATGACTACAAAAGGCAGAGGCATGATGGGACTTGTAGTTCACCAACAGCTGGAGGGCCACAGTTGCCCCCCCTGGCCTAAAGCAAAGGAAGGGATTGTTTTTTTTTAAGCACTTCTCGTCGTCATCCCGGCATGTTTGACTGAAGAGTACCTGTATTTTCCTGAAGCCACTCTGCTGCGAGCATCACCATAAAAGACAATAATGAGGTGCTGCGGAGCGGAGTGACTGATAAAGAAATCTCAGCACTGTACGGCAGTCAGACCAGCTCAAAAGCTCATTGCTTTTAAAGAGACTTAGAAAAAAAAAATTAAAGCCCAACTCCGGGCTCTGAGACTCCCCTTTCCCCTCAGTGCATCCACAGGAGAGTTAACAAACTCATTGACTATTTATTCACAGACACTAATTGCAATTTAACCCCTTGCCCTCCTGAGGATTTACCCCCCTTCCTGACCACGCCTCTTTTTGCTACTCGGCGCTGCACTAATTCAAACTGATAATTGCACGGTCATGCAAATGCTGCACCCAAACAAAATTTACATCTCTTTTTTTCACACAAATAGAGCTTCTCTTTCGGTGGTATTTGATCACCTGTGCGCTTTTTATTTTTCACGCTATAACAAAAAAGGCCAAAAATTTTGAAGAAAAACAATATTTTTTTACTTTCTGCTATAAAAAATATATAGTAAACTCAAAGTTGGTTATAAAATTTAGGCCAAAATGTATTCTGCTCCATGTTTTTGGTAAAAAAAATCCCAATAAGTGTATATTGATTGCGTTTTTGTGTGGAAGTTATTGCGTCTACAAACTATGGTATAGATACTGTAATTTAGGCCATTTTTCTGCTATACAGCGCTGCGCTAGTTTAACGGACAATTGCGCGGTCATGCAATAAGGTAGATAAATGAAATTTACATCCTTTTTTTCCCCACAAATTGAGCTTTCTTTCGGTGGTATTTTGATCGCCTGTGCAGTTTTTATTTTTTGCGCTATAAAAAAAAAGGCTGACAATTTTGAGGAAAAAAAAAACAATATTTTGGACTTTTTGCTATAAAACATATCCAGTAAAAAAAAAATGCAAAAAATCAAATTTAGTCATAAATTTCTGCCAAACCTTGCATTCTGCGACATGTCTTTGCTAAAAAAAAAAAAACCCAATACGTGTTAAATTTAATTGGTTTACGTGAAAGTTATAGCGTTTACAAATGGCGGGAAAGATACAGGGATTTTTAATTTTTATTTATACTAATAATGGCGCCGATCAGTGACAAATGGCGGCAATCAGCGACATATGACGGCGACGAGCGACTTATGGCGGGACTGCGGCGGACATTTTGACACTGGGGGGGGGGGAACTGACTTGGGGTCACTGACATCCCCAGTGACACCAATACAGTGATCAGTGGAAAAAAAAACACTGAAACTGTACTAATGTCACTGGGGAGGAAGGGTTAACATTTTTAGAATTTGCAGTGTAAGGGGAGTGTTTTTTACTAGGGGCGGGGTGTGTGAACTGGAGGGGGGGGGGGGGGGGGAAGGAGGGGGGAGCTGATCAAGGGAGAGAAACTGTTCTCTCCCTCTGCAGCTTGGTGGCGAACTGTCACAGAGCAGGGCTGTGTGTAAACAATGCAGCCCTGCTCTGTGTCAGTGTTCACCGCGGGAAAACGGCCGTAAAAATCGTCCGTGACCCGACGGCGGGGACCCGCTGCTGACACCCGCGGGACAGGTAGGGGCGGGCGCGCGCCCCCTACCTGTTTTGTAGAGCACACGTTTTTTAAAACATGCTTTTGCCTACGAGCGCTGCCCCTGCCACCGTTTATATGCGGTGGCTGGGCGGCCATGTGGTTTAAAAAGCACACAGATGTGGGGAATGAACGTTTAATTGTCATTGTAACCCGTGTGTGTCCCCTTGTGTGTCTGTACCAAGGCCCAACATTCCAAGGGATGGAAACTTCTGATCCGGGCCATTTGGGTGATTTCTGTTATCTTTATGATTTAGAAAGGAGCCAAACAACGATGTGATAATAAATGGCTTCATATGATCCCTTTTCGGAAATAAAAGTTTTTTGTCATGATCCGTTATCTTTTCAATATCAATGCCAAAATGTCATAATTTCTGAATACAGTGCTAGACGCTTTATGTACTGGTACTGCACAAATGTATGCTTGCTAATGGACATCATGCTCTGCTTTATGCTGCGTGGGTTTTTCTTTTTCTTTTTGGATTTTTGTAAAATTGAAAACATTTTAATAAAAATTATTTAAAAAAAATAATTCACAATTTCTGCCAGGGGACAGGGGCGGACGGACAACTCATGGGGCCCCCGGGCAATAGGGGATCATGGGGCCCCTGTGTCCTTGCCCAAACTCAATAAAGCCTATATTAAAGGTACCAGGGGCATCTCATGGGGCCCCCTATTGACCCCGGGGCCCTCGGGCAGTGCCCGAGTTTCCAAATGGTCAGTCCGCCCTTGCCAGGGGATGCAAACTTTTGATCACAACTGTATATATTTGGGTACATATGGACACTGCAGTGTGCGTTCCAGTAGTTTTCTAAGAACCAATGACCAGAACAGAGTTTTCTTGCTTCTTCTGGAGCCTTCCTCGTGCATCCTTTAAATGCTTGTAAATACCGTATTTTTCGCTCCATAAGACACACTTTTTTTTCCACCAAAAAATGGGGGGAAATGTCTGTGTGTCTTATGGAGTAAATATGGAGTGCTGGCCCGGTATTCCCCCCAACGCCGCTGCCGCCGCGCTGGAATACCAGGCCGGCCGCTCGGCTCTTCTGTGCAGCATAACCTGCACACCTCCAGCAGTCCTACCTGTTCCTCGGTCCAGCGGTGTCCTCACTTTCTCTCCCCAGCACCAGCAGCTTTAGTGTGGGCACCCATTTGTGACAGCTTGCAGCTTCACGACCCGTGCCCACTGCGCATGTGCGAGAGAAGCGCTGCGCTTTGTGAATGGCCCCTGTAGTCTTCTGGGACCTGTCACGTGTCCCAGAAGACTACGAGGGGGGGGAAAGGACAACTCCGCAGAAATGGAGCGAGTACCTGTCAAATTCCCCCCCCCCCCTCCGCCTTCCCCCCCCCTCCGCTCCCCAAAGGTCCGCAGTCTCTGGTCATCTTCTGACTATGTCGCAGTCTGTCATCCTCTGTACTGTGTCCGCAGTCTCTGGTTATCTCCTGTACTATGTCCGCAGTCTCTGGTTATCTCCTGGACATCTCCTGTACTGTACTGTGTCCGCAGTCTCTGGTCATCTTCCTGTACTGTGTCCGCAGTCTCTGGTAATCTCCTGTACTGTGTCCGCAGTCTCTGGTCATCCCTGTACTGTGTCCGCAGTCTCTGGTCATCTCCTGTACTGTGTCCGCAGTCTCTGGTTATCTCTTGTACTATGTCCGCAGTCTCTGGTCATCTCTTGTACTATGTCCGCAGTCTCTGGTCATCTCTTGTACTATGTCCGCAGTCTCTGGTCATCTCCTGTACTATGTCCGCAGTCTCTGGTCATCTCCTGTACTGTGTCCGCAGTCTCTGGTCATCTCCTGTACTATGTCCGCAGTCTCTGGTCACCTCCTGTACTGTCCGCAGTCTCTGGTCATCTCCTGTACTATGTCCGCAGTCTGCTCATCCCCCTGTCACTGCGTCCGCAGTCTCTGGTCACCTCCTGTACTGTCCGCAGTCTCTGGTCATCTCCTGTACTGTGTCCGCAGTCTCTGGTCATCCCCTGTTATGTCCGCAGTCTCTGCTCATCTCCTCACCTCCTGTACTGTGTCCGCAGTACTCTGCTCATCTCCTGTACTATGTCTGCAGTCCATTGGTTCAGAATATTTTTTTTCTTGTTTTCCTCCTCTAAAACCTAGGTGCGTCTTATGGAACCAAAAATACGGTAGTTATAGATGCTCACCCAGAAATCTCTGATTGTGAAGGAGAGACCCCGAGCCATTCCAGTACCGGTCCACCAAATCCATAAGTTGCTGGAGAACATCTGAGATGGAAGAAGTCTCACTCCTACTGGGCGAGCTCTCTCTTTTCTTCAGCTCACTCCCACTCAGCAAATCCTCTCCCTGAAAACAACAAACAGTATTGCTGTATGACTATGGTGTTGCACATTTCTGCCAACCAATGTTATGCTTTAAGAGTTCTCCTATATGAAGGAAATCACACAGTGCGGTTCTAGACTCACATGCCGGTCTGAATAGAGATCGGAGGGTTTGGGCGATAACAGAGAGTTCAGGCTGCTGGACCTTTTCAACCCCGTTTGAGTCAAATTTAAAGTGGATGATTTCTCTGGATTCCATGCGCTTTTGTAATCTCTAGAAAATTCAGCAGTTTTTGCAGTTAAGCGAGTGTTTGTTTAAGGAGGGTTTAGAAGGCAACGTGTAGGTCTTTGAGATGTCGCTGAAGCCTTTTCTAAGAGCAGAGAGAGAACTGGAAGACGTGGGAGGATCAGCCAGATGTGTTGCAATATAAAGATCTAGAAAAATACAGCAAATGCACAATTATCAACTGTACCTGAAACATTGCCAAAACTACTTTTTTTTTAAAAAAAATATAACCAACAGCAAAACTTTTTTCTATAGTTTTGGATAATGGAGAGGGACTAAAACCCCTGTTGGTTTTTTTGCTGTCTATGTCCCATCCACCCTGTATTTTTCCTGTTTACACATCCCAAATATTGGGTGGGAAAAATTCCATTGGGGACACTAATTCTGGTGATAACCAATGGATTTCTTCATTTGTAGGGATATACTCTCACTTCCTGTTTTGGCAATGGGCAGGAAGTGAAGGGACATCCCCCCCAATGGAACACAGATGGCAGAAGATGGATTGTCTGTGAAGACTGATAGTCTTCACGGGACTAAGATTGAGCTCTGCAGTCACTTTTGCAGCAGTTGTTTTTTTTTAAAGTGTTACTAAACCCCCTGCATCTACTATATCCGCTCTCCCCGAACCCCGCATTCACTATATCCGCTCTCCCCAGACCCCACATTCACTATATCCGCTCTCCCCGGACCCCGCATTCACGATATCCGGTCTCCCTGGACCCCGCATTCACTATATCCGCTCTCCCCAGACCTCACATTCACTATATCCGCTCTCCCCGGACCCCGCATTCACTATATCCGCTCTCCCCAGACCCCGCATTCACTATATCCGGTCTCCTCGGACCCCGCATTCACTATATCCGCTCTTCCCGGACCCCGCATTCACTATATCCGCTCTGCCTGGACCCTGCATTCACTATATCCGCTCTCCCCGGACCCTGCATTCACTATATCGGCTCTCCCCGGACCCCGCATTCACTATATCCACTCTCCCCGGACCCCGCATTCACTATATCCACTCTCCCCGGACCCCGCATTCACTATATCTGCTCTCCCCGGACCCTGCATTCACTGTATCTGCTCTCCCCGGACCCTGCATTCACTATATCCGCTCTCCCCGGACCCCGCATTCCCCTATATCCTCTCTCCCGGGACCCCGCATTCACTATATCCGCTCTCCCCGGACCCTGCATTCACTATATCCGCTCTCCCCGGACCCTGCATTCACTATATCCGCTCTCCCCGGACCCAGCATTCACTATATCCGCTCTCCCCGGACCCTGCATTCACTATATCCGCTCTCCCGGGACCCTGCATTCAGTATAGCTGGGCTCCCCGGACCCTGCATTCCCTATATCCACTCTCCCCGGACCCCGCATTCACTATATCAGCTCTCCCCAGACTCTGCATTCACTTTATCTTCTCTCCCCGGACCCCGCATTTACTATATCCGCTCTCCCCGGATGCCGCATTCACTATATCCGCTCTCTCCGGACCCCGCATTCACTATATCCGCTCTCTCCGGACCCTGCATTCACTATATCCGCTCTCTCCGGACCCTGCATTCACTATATCCGCTCTCCCCGGACCCTGCATTCACTATATCCGCTCTCCCCGGACCCTGCATTCACTATATCCGCTATCCCCGGACCCCGCATTCACTATATCTGATCTCCGGGGACACTGCATTCACTATATCCGCTCTCCCCGGACCCCACATTCACTATATCTGCTCTCCCCGGACCCTGCATTCACTATATCTGCTCTCCCCGGACCCCGCATTCACTATATCCTCTCTCCCCGGACCCCGCATTCACTATATCCGCTCTCCCGGACCCCACATTCACTATATCTGCTCTCCCCGGACCCCGCATTCACTATATCCGCTCTCCCCGGACCCCGCATTCACTATATCCGCTCTCCCGGACCTCGCATTCACTATATCCGCTCTGCCCGGACCCCGCATTCACTATATCCGCTCTCCCCGGACCCCGCATTCACTATATCCATTCTCCACGGACCCCGCATTCACTATATCCGCTCTCCCCGGACCCCGCATTCACTATATCCGCTCTCCCCGGACCCTGCATTCACTATATCCGCTCTCCTGCTTTATGCAATGATATTGCAAAGAATTGTCCCTTACCTCCTCTTCTGGCAGTCTCTCACTGGCACGGTCAACTTCTCCCTGCTCAGGGTGCCTCCTTTGCAAACCAGGTTCTAAGGAGGCACCCATGTGCTTGCTTCCAAGCTAGGCTGTTTGCATCCATAGACACATAGAGCGCCAGTAAGTCACACCTCCACTCCCTCCTCACCTATGGCTCCCGCTGTCCTCGGTGCCTCCTTTGAAAGCAGTGAGGGGAGCGATGACATGCACCAGGTGAGTGTTTTGGGACAAGAGTGGGTAGGACAGGTAGTGGGGGGTTTTTCTACCTTAGCACAGAAAATGCATTAAGGTAAAAAAAAACCCTTTAGACATTAGAACTACTTTAATGAATTGAAGCCAAAGACAGCCAAGCAACAGTCATTGTCAGGAGATAAATGGAATATTCCGTATTTCTGCCAGCACAGGTATCTGATTTTGTCTACACCCCGCCCACACCCTTATCCCAAGGGATTCCAGACAGCCAATAGTGGAAGAAAGAATGCACATCCAGAGGGTCCCCATTTTTCCTTTTTTTTTTTTTTTAGTCCTGGTCAGAGATGTACTGCTGTCAAATGTACAGTGCAGACTGCTGACAGGCCGACTGAAAACAAATCAGTGTTTACACCCTGGCTTGGACTTGTGACGACGGTCCTGAAAGACGCAAATGGAGAAACAGAAAAAGGGCGCACCGACCTAATGCATTATTGTTTAAAATATTTATTGAAGAAACAAAGTAAGTATCATACTTACAATAGACATAAAAACACAGTCATGTCAAACTGAACAAGAAGTATGATCCAAACAACATCTGAGTCCATACGATGGAAGGGCTCTGAGGAAGAGGTTGTGTCCTCGAAACGCGTTAGACAGTTGGTCATCCAGGGTTCCATTGTATGGACTCAGATGTTGTTTGGATCATACATCTTGTTCAGTTTGACATGACTGTGTTTTTATGTCTATTGTGAGTATGATACTTACCGTATTTTTTGCTCCATAAGACGCACTTTTTTTCCCCCCAAAAAAGGGGGGAAAATGTCAGTGCGTCTTATGGAGCAAATATAAAGCGGCCGGTCCGGTATTTCTGCCGCCACCATGTCAGAATACCGGGGCCGGCCGCTCAGCTGTTCTCTCCTGCAGGGCGCTCCAGCGCTGCACAGTCTTCCCGGGCCGGCTTCTGTGACAGCCGGGTGCCCACTGCGCATGTGCTTCGCTTTGTGAATGATCCGGTGTCTTCTGGGACACATGACAGGTCCCAGAAGGCGCCGGGCCATTCACAAAACGCGGCGCTTCTCGCACATGCGCAGTGGGCACCCGGCTGTCACAGAAGCCGGCGCGGGAAGAAGAGAGAAGGACAACGCCGCGGAAGTGGGAGCGGGTACCTGTCAAATTCAGGTACCCGCTCCCCCTCCCTCCCCAAAGGTCAGCAGTCTCTGGTCATCCCCTGCACTGTCGGCAGTCTGGTTATTCCCTGCACTGTCCGCAGTCTCTGGTCATCTCCTGTACTGTGTCCGCAGTCTCTGGTCATCTCCTGCACTATGTCCGCAGTCTCTGGTCATCTCCTGTACTGTGTCCTCAGTCTCTGGTCATCCCCTGTACTGTGTCCGCAGTCTCTGGTCATCTCCTGTACTGTGTCCTCAGTCTCTGGTCATCCCCTGTACATCTCCTGTACTGTCTCTGTCCTGTACTGTGTCCGCAGTCCTGTACTGTGTCCTCAGTCCCCTGGTCATCCCCTGTACTATGTCCGCAGTCTCTGGTCATCTCCTGTACTGTGTCCTCAGTCTCTGGTCATCCCCTGTACTGTGTCCGCAGTCTCTGGTCATCTCCTGTACTATGTCCGCAGTCTCTGGTCATCTCCTGTACTGTGTCCGCTGGTCATCTCCTGTACTGTGTCCGCAGTCTCTGGTCATCTCCTGTACTGTGTCCGCAGTCTCTGGTCATCTCCTGTACTGTGTCCGCAGTCTCTGGTCATCTCCTGTACTGGTCCGCATCTCCTGTCATCTCCTGTACTGTGTCCGCAGTCTCTGGTCATCTCCTGTACCGTGTCCGCAGTCTCTGGCCATATCCTGTACTGTGTCGGCAGTCTCTGGTCATCCCCTGTACTGTGTCCGCAGTCTCTGGCCATATCCTGTACTGTGTCGGCAGTCTCTGGTCATCCCCTGTACTGTGTCGGCAGTCTCTGGTCATCTCCTGTACTGTTTCCGCAGTCTCTGGTCATCTCCTGTACTGTGTCCGCAGTCTCTGGTCATCTCCTGCACTATGTCCGCAGTCTCTGGTCATCTCCTGTACTGTGTCCTCAGTCTCTGGTCATCCCCTGTACTATGTCCGCAGTCTCTGGTCATCTCCTGTACTGTGTCCGCAGTCTCTGGTCATCCCCTGTACTATGTCCGCAGTCTCTGGTCATCTCCTGTACTGTGTCCCTCAGTCTCTGGTCATCCCCTGTACTGTGTCCGCAGTCTCTGGTCATCTCCTGTACTATGTCCGCAGTCTCTGGTCATCTCCTGTACTGTGTCCTTAGTCTCTGGTCATCTCCTGTACTGTGTCCGCAGTCTCTGGTCATCTCCTGTACTGTGTCCTCAGTCTCTGGTCATCTCCTGTACTGTGTCCGCAGTCTCTGGTCATCTCCTGTACTGTGTCCGCAGTCTCTGGTCATCTCCTGTACTGTGTCCGCAGTCTCTGGTCATCTCCTGTACCGTGTCCGCAGTCTCTGGCCATATCCTGTACTGTGTCGGCAGTCTCTGGTCATCCCCTGTACTGTGTCGGCAGTCTCTGGTCATCTCCTGTACTGTTTCCGCAGTCTCTGGTCATCTCCTGTACTGTGTCCGCAGTCTCTGGTCATCTCCTGTACTGTGTCCGCAGTCTCTGGTCATCTCCTGCACTGTGTCCGCAGTCTCTGGTCATCTCCTGCACTGTGTCCGCAGTCTCTGGTCATCTCCTGTACTGTGTCCGCAGTCTCTGGCCATATCCTGTACTGTGTCCGCAGTCTCTGGCCATATCCTGTACTATGTCCGCAGTCTCTGCTCATCTCCTGTACTGTGTCCGCAGTCTCTGGTCATCTCCTGTACTGTGTCCGCAGTCTCTGGTCATCTCCTGTACTGTGTCCGCAGTCTCTGGTCATCTCCTGTACTGTGTCCGCAGTCTCTGGTCATCTCCTGTACTATATCCGCAGTCTCTGGTCATCCCCTGTACTGTGTCCTCAGTCTCTGGTCATCTCCTGTACTATGTCTGCAGTCTCTGGTCATCTCCTGTACTATGTCTGCAGTCCATTGGTTCAGAATTTTTTTTTCCTGTTTTTCGCCTCTAAAACCTAGGTGCGTCTTATGGTCAGGTGCGTCTTACGGAGCGAAAAATACGGTACTTTGTTTCTTCAATAAATATTTTAAACAATAATGCACTAGGTCGGTGCGCTCTTTTTCTGTTTCTCCATTTGCATCTAGTGTATTTGGACCACCCAGGTCTGTTGAGGGCAGCAAGCAGTGCATATTCCAGAATATTCTGGAACATTCATATTGGGTCTACTGAGTCCTTTCCTAGTGCAGGAGAAAAGTGTTTGTTGTGTTGGATGGTCCTGAAAGCTCAGAGAAAGCGAAGGCAGAGGAAATAGGTTAGATTAGCAAAGCTTTGTGATATTCCTGGACACAGTACAGGGTTTTAAAAGTGCCGTTATCCTTTAATCTGATCACGGCCCCATATATAACCGTGCGCACACCAAAAAGCATTGAACCGCCATCATTTCCTGCTCGCAAAGGAGCTTACAATTTATTTTTCCCATCACCGTCATACATTAGAGCCATTTTTGGGTAGAAGCAAATGAAATCCATTTTTTGGGTAAATAAATAATGGGCAGCACAGTGGCTAAATGGTCAGCACTTCCGCCTGGCAGTACTCGGGTCATTGGTTCAAATCCCAACCACAGCACCACCTGCCTGGAGCTTGCATGTTCTCCCTGTGCCTGCGTGGGTTTCCTCCTACACTCCAAAGACATGCTGGGAGGTTAATTGGCTCCTGTCTATATTGGCCCTAGTATGTGTATGTATGAATGTGAGTTAGGGACCTTAGATTGTACGCCCCTTGAGGGTTAGGGACCTTAGATTGTACACCCCTTGAGGGTTAGGGACCTTAGATTGTACACCCCTTGAGGTTAGGGACCTTAGATTGTACACCCCTTGAGGGTTAGGGACCTTAGATTGTACACCCCTTGAGGGTTAGGGACCTTAGATTGTACACCCCTTGATGGTTAGGGACCTTAGATTGTACACCCCTTGAGGGTTAGGGACCAATGTGAATGTACAATATATATGTAAAGTGACGGCGCTATACAAGTATCTGAAATAAATAAATAGTCTGATACCGGAACTAAGTCTCAGTAGCCTCTCTCTGCTGGACTCCTCGCCGTTATGTGAGGGTTTAATCCGGTCTCTTGTTTCTGAGCTTTGCCCGAAGTCATTGATGTCACCAGACCTAATCCTTTCATTCCCATCTAGGATGCTTGTCCTCATCCTCTCGCTGCCTGCAGCATCCTTCCTTACTGGGGTAGATGTCAGGTAGGAATTCTTGAAGCTAAATGGCATCCCCAATTTGTCCGGATAGCTAAAACCCAGATTTTTGGTGGAGTTGATATCTTCTTCGCTTTTCGTAAGTGTAGAAATATCCTCTCGCTTTGCAAAAAACTCTGAAATTGTTGAGTCAGCAAAAGTGACGCGGTGGCCTTCTTTAGTACGAGAAGAGGGGCCCGGGGAACGGAGAGACGAGCGTGTTGGGGATGGCAATGGTCTGTACTCTAAACAGGAAAACAAAGCAAAGGGGAGATATGAAAAAACTGAGCTCAGAGGGATTCTCTCCCTAACAGCCTTGACCATTGCCTCCTGCTAGATGAGGTCAACTGGCAGCCATAACCAGGATTCCAATCCTCCTAAGTACTTACTATTACTCTGCTGACTCCTTCCAGTCATCACATGCTTTCTCCCTTATACAAGAGGCACATGGTTACAGTGGTTCTAAACCCCGGACCCCGCATTCACTATATCCGCTCTCCCCGGACCCTGCATTCACTATATCCGGTCTCCCCAAACCCCGCATTCACTATATCCGCTCTCCCCGGACCCCGCATTCACTATATCCGGTCTCCCCAAACCCCGCATTCACTATATCCGCTCTCCCCGGACCCCGCATTCACTATATCCGCTCTTCCCGGACCCCGCATTCACTATATCCGCTCTCCCCTGACCCTGCATTCACTCTATCCGCTCTCCCCGGACCCTGCATGCACTCTATCCGCTCTCCCCGGACCCCGCATTCACTATATCCGCTCTCCCCGGACCCCGCATTCACTCTATCCGCTCTCCCGGACCCCGCATTCACTATATCCGCTCTCCCCCCGGACCCCGCATTCACTATATCCGCTCTAGCAGGACCCTGCAATCAATATATCCGCTCTCCCCGGACCCTGCATTCACTATATCTCCTCTCCCAGGACCCTGCATTCACTATATCCGCTCTCCCAGGACCCTGTTTTCATATATATCCGGTCTCCCCGGACCCCGCATTCACTAGATCCGCTCTCCCCGGACCCCGCATTCACTATATCCGCTCTCCCCGGACCCTGCATTCAATATATCTGCTCTCCCTGGACCCTGCATTCACTATATCCGCTCTCCCGGGACCCTGCATTCACTATATCTGGTCTCCCCGGACCCCGCATTCACTATATACCGCTCTCCCTGCATTCACTATATCCGGTCTCCCCGGACCCCGCATTCACTATATCCGCTCTCCCGGACCCTGCATTCACTATATCCGCTCTCCCCCGGGACCCTGCATTCACTATATCGGTCTCCCTGGACCCTGCATTCACTATATCCGCTCTCCCCGGACCCCGCATTCACTATATCCGCTCTCCCCGGACCCTGCATTCACTATATCTGGTCTCCCTGGACCTTGCATTCACTATATCCGCTCTTCCAAAAAAAACAAAGATCTCTAACAATATACACCAAACTGAGCATGTGCCCCTGTGTCTCCACACCATATGTCTTATACAAGAGGCACATGGTTACAGTGGTTCTAAACCCCGGACCCTGCATTCACTATATCCGCTCTCCCCGGACCCCGCATTCACTATATCCGCTCTCCCCGGACCCCGCATTCACTATATCCGCTCTCCCCGGACCCTGCATTCCTATATCCGCTCTCCCCGGACCCTGCATTCACTATATCTGCTCTCCCCGGACCCCGCATTCACTATCTACGCTCTCCCCGGACCCCGCATTCACTATATCCGCTCTCCCCGGACCCTGCATTCACTATATCCGGTCTCCCAGTACCCTGCAATCACTATATATCTGGTCTCCCGGGACCCTGCATTTACTATATCCGCTCCCCGGTTCCACAGTGAGTATACAAGCTCGCTTTCCTGCATCTACAGACTGATTGTACTGTTGTGGGTTTAGTAACACTTTAAAGCTTTTTACCTTCAAGCATTCTGTGCAGGAAGGTAAAAAAAACCTTCAGTGTGCAGATTCCCCCACTGCCCCCCAATACTCACCTAAGCCTGATTGTGGTCCAGCACTTTGCACGAGAACTAGCGCTTTCCCCGTTTCTCTCCCTCCTAATTGGCTGAGACACAGCAGCGGGACCCATTGGCTCCCGCTGCTGTCAATCACAGCCAGTGAGGAGGGATCGGTGGTGGGGCTGAGCATAGTCTCACACAAGTGCCCCCAGAGCAAGCAGCTTACCTTCAGGGCACTCAGTCGGGGGGGAGCCAGGAGCACAGGCGAAGGGCCCTGAAAAGAGGAGCATCGGAGCTGCTCTGTGCGAAACTATTACACAGAGAAGGTTAGCATAACATGTTTGTAATTTCTTTTTTTTACCTTTAGTATCACTTTAAAGCAGAGCTTCAACAAAAGGGAAAGTTCATGCCTCCTTCCCCACCCCTATCCCCCCCCCCGCTACTTTTTTTTGGGGGAGGTACCTGGCTTTGACAGTCAGCACCCCAATTCCCCCGCCTCGACCTGCAGCTTTCTGCGACACATCACACACCATTCACAAAGCACAGAGCGGCTCGCGCATGCGCAGTAGGAATCTGGATGTGAAGCCACTAAGACTCACAGCTGGCTACCATTAGTAAGCACCGCGGCGCCAGCGACCCGAATCCCGGTGAAGAACGAGCCCAGCTGAGGATAGCGCTGGATCCGGGGCAGGTAAGTGTCCTTATATTAAAAGTCAGGAACTGCAGTATTTGTAGCTGATGACTTTTATTTATTTATTGTAAGACACTGAAGATCTTTAAAGTAACAATATATATAGAAATATAAATTAGTATGAATAAGATAAATATCAAAATATTATACCAATACCATCTTCAAAGTCAGTCTGTGGCTGCAGATAGGACAGGTGCTCTTCAGGCTGCAAACGGAAACAATTCATATCAATGGAGATCTAATAAATATGATGTTATAATTACAATTTGATCGAATGTGACGATCGACCGTGTCCACCGCGCCTATGCCTATCAGACGACGTATTCAGGGAAACTGTATACACCGTAATAACCTTTCATACTGTAACTCACAACACGGCAAATAAATTGTCTGCTACCCCTCTCTGCCAATCCCTCCACTGACCTCCATTCAGTGTCCTCCACCCCTCTCTGCCAATCCCTCCACTGGAATCCATTCAGTGTCCTCCATCCCTCTCTGCCAATCCCTCCACTGACCTCCATTCAGTGTCTCCACCCCTCTCTGCCAATCCCTCCACTGACCTCCATTCAGTGTTCTCACACCCTCTCTGCCAATCCCTCCACTGACCTCCATTCAGTGTTCTCCACCCCTCTCTGCCAATCCCTCCACTGACCTCCATTCAGTGTTCTGCACCCCTCTCTGCCAATCCCTCCACTGGCCTCCATTCAGTGTCCTCCACCCCTCTCTGCCAATCCCTCCACTGGCCTCCATTCAGTGTCCTCCACCCCTCTCTGCCAATCCCTCCACTCAGTGTCCTCCACCCCTCTCTGCCAATCTATCCACTGGCCTCCATTCAGTGTCCTCCACCCCTCTCTGCCAATCCCTCCACTGACCTCCACTGAGTGTCCTCCATCCCTCTCTGCCAATCCCTCCTCTGGCCTCCACTCAGTGTCCTCCATCCCTCTCTGCCAATCCCTCCACTGACCTCCACTGAGTGTCCTCCATCCTCTCTGCCAATCCCTCCACTGGCCTCCACTCAGTGTCCTCCATCCCTCTCTGCCAATCCCTCCACTGTCCTCCATTCAGTATCCTCCACCCCTCTCTGCCAATCCCTCCACCGGCCTCCATTCAGTGTCCTCCATCCCTCTCTGCCAATCCCTCCACCGGCCTCCACTCAGTGTCCTCCACCCCTCTCTGCCAATCCCTCCACTGGCCTGGGGAAAGTGTCCAGACTGGAAGGGGGGGAAAGTGTCCAGACTGGAAGGGGGGGAAAGTGTCCGGACCTGGAAGGGGGGGGAAAGTGTCCGGACTGGGGGGGGGGGTGAAAGTGTCCGGACTGGAAGGGGGGGGGGGAAAGTGTCCGGACTGGAAGGGGGGGGAAGTGTCCGGACTGGAAGGGGGGGTGAAAGTGTCCGGACTGGAAGGGGGGTGAAAGTGTCCGGACTGGAAGGGGGGGGGTGAAAGTGTCCGGACTGGAAGGGGGGGTGAAAGTGTCCGGACTGGAAGGGGGGGAAAGTGTCCAGACTGGAAGGGGGGGAAAGTGTCCAGACTGGAAGGGGGGGGGAAAGTGTCCAGACTGGAAGGGGGGGGAAAGTGTCCGGACTGGAAGGGGGGGGAAGTGTCCAGACTGGAGGGGGAGGGAAGTGTCAGGACTGGAGGGGGGGAAGGGGGAAAGTGTCCAAAACTGGAAGGGGGAGGGAAGTGTCCAGACTGGAGGGGGAGGGAAAAGTGTCCGGACTGGAAGGGGGGAAAGTGTCCAGACTGGAGGGGGAGGGAAGTGTCCAGACTGGAAGGGGGGGGAAAGTGTCCAGACTGGAGGGGGAGGGAAAGTGTCCAGACTGGAGGGGGAGGGAAGTGTCCAGACTGGAGGGGGAGGGAAGTGTCCAGACTGGAGGGGGAGGGAAGTGTCCAGACTGAAGGGGGGGGGGGGGGGAGTGGCCGGACTGGAAGGGGGTGAAAGTGTCCGGACTGGAAGGGGGGGAAAGTTTCCAGACTGGAGGCGGGGGAAAGTGTCCGGGAGGGGGGGGGGGAAAGTGTCCGGACTGGAAGGGGGGGGAAAGTGTCCGGACTGGAAGGGGGGGGAAAGTGTCCGGACTGGAAGGGGGGGGGAAAGTGTCCGGACTGGAGGGGGGGGGAAAGTGTCCGGACTGGAAGGGGGGGGAAAGTGTCCGGACTGGAAGGGGGGGGAAAAGTCCGGACTGGAAGGGGGGGGAAAGTGTCCGGACTGGAAGGGGGGGGGAAAGTGTCCGGACTGGAAGGGGGGGGGAAAGTGTCCGGACTGAAAAGGGGGGGAAAGTGTCCGGACTGGAAGGGGGGGGAAAGTGTCCAGACTGGAAGTGGGCAGGGGGAAAAAGTGTCCAGACTGGAGGGGGGGGGAGGGAAAGTGTCCAGACTGGAAGGGGAGGGAAGTGTCCGGACTGGAAGGGGGGGGAAGTGTCCGGACTGGAAGGGGGGGGAAGTGTCCGGACTGGACTGGAAAGGGGGGGGAAAGTGTCCGGACTGGAAGGGGGGGGAAAGTGTCCGGACTGGAAGGGGGGGAAAAGTGTCCGGACTGGAAGGGGGGGGAAAGTGTCCGGACTGGAAGGGGGGGGGAAAGTGTCCGGACTGGAAGTGTCCGGGGGGGGGGAAAGTGTCCGGACTGGAAGGGGGGGGGAAAGTGTCCGGACTGGAAAAGCGGGGGGGGGGGAAAGTGTCCGGACTGGAAGGGTGGGGGGGGGGGGAAAGTGTCCGGACCGGAAGGGGGGGAAAGTGTCCGGACCGGAAGTGTGCCGGACTGGGGGGGGGGAAAGTGTCCGGACCGGAATGGAGGGGGGGGGGAAAGTGTCCGGACCGGAAGGGGGGGGAAAGTGTACCGGACCGGAAAGTGTCGGGGGGGGGGAAAGTGTCCGGACCGGAAGGGGGGGAAAGTGTCCGGACCGGAAGGGGGGGGGAAAGTGTCCGGACCGGAAGGGGGGGGGGAAAGTGTCCGGACCGGAAGGGGGGGGGGGGAAAGTGTCCGGACCGGAGGGGGGGGAAGGGGGGGGGGGAAAGTGTCCGGACCGGAAAGGGGGGGGAAAGTCCGGACCGGAAGGGGGGGGAAAGTGTCCGGACCGGAAGGGGGGGGAAAGTGTCCGGACCGGAAGGGGGGGGAAAGTGTCCGGACGGAAGGGGGGGGAAAGTGTCCGGACCGGAAGGGGAGGGAAAGTGTCCGGACCGGAAGGGGGTGAAAGTGTGTCGGACCGGGAAGGGGGTGAAAGTGTCCGGACCGGAAGGGGGGTGAAAGTGTCCGGACGGAAGGGGGTGGAAAGTGTCCGGACCGGAAGGGGGTGAAAGTGTGTCCGGACCGGAAAAGGGGCGAAAGTGTGTCCGGACCGGAAAGGGGGCGAAGTGTGTCCGGACCGGAAGGGGGGCGAAAGTGTCCGGACTGGAAAGGGGGGGGGGGGGGGGGGGGGGGTGGAGTGTCCGGACTTGAAGTGGTTAAACAAAAAGTTTTTTTTTGGTTTTTTTACTCCTACACTGCTTGTCTGCAGCAAATGATGATAGGATTGGACCTATCGCTTGTGAATAATGGGGAACTTGTCTGCCACCAAGAAACAGGATTAGATCTCAGAATGGCGCCCCGTTTTATAGGAATACCTTTTTTCCATGATACGGTTAAACATTCCTGGATTGGTTCCTTCTATACAGAAGGTCAACTTGCCTGATACTTAGAGGGAGAAGAGCCTCTGCTATAATCTCTGGAATGATGTTCCTGACTGTTTTTCTTGCCCATTTCTAAAACAGAAAAATAATCAGAACGTTGTCAGGTTGGTTTCTATTATAAAATCACAACAGAGAAAATGGAAATCCTTTTTTAAGTGTAGCAAGTATCGCAGTGCAAGTAATAATCAGCACACTCAGCTGCTCTAAATGTGCTTGAAGACGTACAATAGATCATGCTGCATTAAAGCCAAAGCTCTGGGCCCATTCACACTAGGAACTGCATGTGAATCGCACAGGAATGCTCGGGGAAGTTCCTGTGCGATTCACCTGCGTTTCTGTGCAGTGCGATTTCAGCACAGTGACTAAATGGTTAGCACTTTTGCCTGGCAGTACTCGGGGTTGTTGGTTCAAATCCCAACCACGGCACCACCTGCCTGGAGTTTGCATGTTCTCCTGTAGCCTGCATGGGTTTCCTCTGGGTACTCTGGTTTCCTCCCACTCTGTAAAAGACATGCTGGTAAGCTAATTGGCTCCTGTCTAAATTGGCCTTAGTTCCATATCTGCCAATCCCTCCACTGGCTTTCCATTGCCCAACGAATAATATTCAAAACCTTAACAATCACATATAAAACCATTTATAACTCTTTGCCCCCAATTACATCACCAATCTTGTCTCCAAATATCACCCAAACCGTACTCTCCGTTCCTCGAACGACCTCCTGCTCTCTAGCGCTCCTTGTCTCCTACTCCCATTGCTCATCTCCAGGACTTCTCCAGAGCCTCCCCCATCCTCTGGAACTCTCTACCCCAGTTTATCTCCAGAGCCTCCCCATCCTCTGGAACCATGCAGGGCTGCCATCAGAGGGGTACCTTCGGTACTCTTTCAGTGGAGGAGGATCGATGTGGGGGAGGGCAGTTGCAGAGCGATGGTCCTGTACCTCTCCCCTCCAGGCAGCTGACGAGCCAGGACCAGAGGACAGCTGGAGCAGGGAGAGAAGAGCCCAGAGGAGATGAACTGTGCTGTGTTCTGTGGGATCTCCCTGCCTCCTCATCCCTACACTGACAGATCGTATGGGACTGCACACACCTCCCCCCCTCCTCCTTCCTGCTGCTCGGAGATCAGCAGCCCTTGGTGCAGGTATGTGTGTGCAGTCCCATACGATCTGAGAAACAAAGAGAGGGAAAAAGAGATGTGGGAGAGAGAGGGAGAGAGAGAGGAGGGGAGAGAGAGGAGAGAGGGAGAGAGAGAGGGAAGGGGAAGGATAAAGATTGGGGGAGAGGGGGGAGAGAGAGAGGGAGGGGGAGATAAAGTGGGGGAAGATAAAGAGGGGGAAAGAGAGAAAGGGAGGGGAGGGAGAGAGAGGAGGGGGGGAGGGGTAGAGGTGGGGGAGAGAGGGGGAGAGAGGAGAGAGGAGAGAGAGGGGGAAGGTACAGAGGGGGAAGAGAGAGGAGGGGAAGAGGGAGAGGGAAGAGGGGAAGAGAGAAGGAGGGAGAGAGAGAGAAGAGGGGGGAGAGAGAGGGGAGTAAGAGAAAGAGGGGGAGAGGGAGGGGAGGGGGAAGGAGGAGAGAGGGGGAAGAAGAGGTGGGGAGGGGGAAGAGAGAGAGGGGAGAGGGAGAGAAGGAGAGAAGAGAAGGGGGAGAGAGAGAAGAGGGGAAGAGGGGAGAGAGAGAAGATGAGGGAGAGAGAGAGAGAGAGGGGGAGAGAGAGAGGGGAAGAGGGAAAGAGAGAAGAGAAGAGGGGGAGAGAGAGAAAGAGAGGGGAGAGAGAGAAGAGGGGAGAGAGAGAGGAGGGGGGGTGGAGGGGGAAGAGGAGGGGGGAGAGGGGGGAGGGGGAAGAGAGAGAGGGGGAGAGGGAAGAGAGAAGAGAAGGGAGGGGGAGTGGGGAGAGAGAGAGGAGGGAGAGAGGGGGAGGGGAGAGGGAGATATGGAGAGAGGGCAGAGAGAGAGGGGGGGTGGTAGATGGGGGAGGGGGGAGATAAAGAGGGTGAAGAAAGAGGAGGGGAGGGATGAGGGGAGGGGGATGGGGGGGGTAGATGGGGGAGAGGGGGGAAGATGAGAGAGAGGGGGCTAGAGATTAAAGAGGGGGAAGAGAGAGAGGGGGGGAGAGAGAGGAGAAGGGAGAAGGAGTGAGAGAGGGGGGGGGAGAGGGAGGATGGTGGAGGAGAGGGGGAGAGAGAAGAGGGTGGGGGGGACGGTGAGGGGGAAGAGAGAGAGGAGGCGGGGGGGGGAGAAGGAGGAGAGGGGGGAGAGAGATGGTGGGAGGGGAGAGAGGGGGGAGAGAGAGGGGGAGAGAGAGGGGGGAGAGAGGAGGGGAAGGGGGGGAGGAGGGGAGAGATGAGAGGGGGGAGATAGGGAGAGGAGAGGGGGAGGGGGTAGATGGGGGGGGTGGGGAAGAGAGAGATGGGGGAGTGGTGGGGAAGAGAGGGAGGGAGAGAGAGGGGAAGAACGAGGGAGGGGGATGTCTACGAGAGGGGGAGAGAGGGAAGAGAGGAGGGGGAGTTAGTGGGAGTGGGGGATGAGAGAGGGAGGGGGAGTAGAAGGAGGGAGAGCGGGGGGTTTAGGTTGGGGGAGGGGGGAGAGGGGGAGGGGGGAGAGGGGGAGGGAGAGAGAAGGGGGGAAGAGAGAGGGAGAGAGAGAGTGAGAGAGAGTGGGGATGAGAGAGAGGAGGGAGAGAGAGAGAGGAGGGAGAGAGAGAGAGGAGGGAGGGAGGTGAGAGGAGGGAGGAAGAGAGAGAGGAGAGGAGGAGAGAGAGAGGAGGGAGGGAGATTGCGAGGAGAGGAGGAGGGATGGAGAGAGAGTGGAGGGAGAGGGTGGAGAGGAGGGAGAGGGTAGAGAGGTGGGGAGGGGGAGAGAGGAGGGAGGGGGGGGGGGAGAGAGAGGGGGGGGGAGAGAGAGGGAGGGGGGGGAGAGAGGAGGGGTGGGGAGAGAGAGGGGGGGGAAAGAGAGGAGGGGGGGAGGGGGAAGGAGAGAGGGGGAGAGACAGGGGGGAGAGGGGGGAAGAGAGAGAGAAGGAGAGAGAGAGGGAAAGAGAGAGAGACTGGGATGATCAGCGTGCGGCCAGAACACCATAGAAAATGATGCTCCTGAACACACGGGTGTCCTGGGGGGGCCGGAGAGACTCTATTTGCATGTAACCACTCGGATAATCAATACAACATTTTGCATTAATAGAGTTAAATACTCGGTCTTTTAGCCTGCTTAATCCAGTGTATTTTAAAAAATCTTACCAGTCATGTTGCTCAAGCCGAAATCAAGGTGAACTTTAGCTCCTCCTTTGTTCCCCATAAAGATGGCTGTGTGACGGGCTCGTCATAGAGCTGAAATATGACAATTAATTATTGATATATCTTACAATCTAGTCCACTATAATCCACACAGCGCCCTAACAGTACACATCTTCTATTGTTCTCAGACGCGAATGTGGTACTCAAATGCAACAATAATCAAAAGTGCAGTGATCAGGAAACAAATATAACATTTGTCAATGATAGACAATTCAATAAAATAGTGTGAACAATATGTGAATCATCCACCCAATAAAGTCATCATATATCCGTAAGTTCATACATTTATAGAAGTCCCAGAAAAGGTGCATACCGTCTGTAAATTATTCTTAGATTGTAAGCTCCCAGGATTCAGGGCCCTCCTAACCCTCTTGTATTGACCTGTATTGTTGCTGTATTATTTCTCTGCAGGAGAAAATTGGATCGTGCTTTGCTGGGTTTTTTGCCTTCCTCTGGATCAATTGCAGGTGTAGGATTATAATTTTTTTTTTTTTTCTATGGTTGAACTGGATGGACTTTTGTCTTTTTTTAGCCAGACTAACTATGTAACTATTTATTGTCTCCCTTTATATTGTAAAGCGCTGAGAAAACTGTTGGCGCCATATAAATCCTGTATAATAATAATAATAATATCTCCTCCTCCCATGCTCATCTCCAGGACTTCTCCAGAGCTTCCCCCATCCTCTGGAACTCTCTACCCCCAATTTATCAGACTGTCGCCTACTCTGCTCACTTTTAGGCGATCTCTGAAAACCTATCTCTTCAGGGAAGCCTATCCTGCCCTCAGCTAATAATGGAATCTTCTACTCCTCCTACCAGGCCATCCCCCACAGTTACTACCTTTGGTACCACTAGCCCCTCCCTCTTAGATTGTAAGCTCCCAGGATCAGGGCCCTCCTATCCCTCTTGTATTTATTTATTTCAGGTTCTTATATAGCGCCGTCAATTTACGCAGCGCATTACATATATATTGTACATTCACATCAGTCCCTGACCCTCAAGGGGTGTACAATCTAAGGTCCCTAACCCTCAAGGGGCGTACAATCTAAGGTCCCTAACTTACATTCATACATACACATACTAGGGACAATATAGACAGGAGCCAATTAACCTAGCAGCATGTCTTTGGAGTGTGGGAGGAAACCAGAGTACCCAGAGGAAACCCACGCAGTCACAGGGAGAACATAAAAACTTCAGGCAGGTGGTGCCGTGGCTGGGATTCGAAACCAACGACCCGAGTACTGCCAGGCGGAAGTGCTAACCATTTAGCCACTGTGCTGCCCACAGTATAGGATTATAACTTTTTTTTTTTTTTCTATGGTTGAACTGGATGGACTTTTGTCTTTTTTCAGCCAGGCTAACTATGTAACTTTGTATTGTCTCCCTTTATATTGTAAAGCGCTGAGCAAACTGTTGGCGCTATATAAATCCTGTATAATAATATAAATCCTGTATAATTATAATAATATAAATCCTGTATAATAATAATAATAATAATATAAATCCTGTATAATAATAATAATATAAATCCTGTATAATAATAATAATAATAATAATATAAATCCTGTATAATAATATAAATCCTGTATAATAATAATAATATAAATCCTGTATAATAATAATATATAAATCCTGTATAATAATAATAATAATATAAATCCTGTATAATAATAATATAAATCCTGTATAATAATAATAATAATAATAATATAAATCCTGTATAATAATAATAATAATAATATAAATCCTGTATAATAATAATATAAATCCTGTATAATAATAATAAGAATATAAATCCTGTAATAATAATAAGAATATAAATCCTGTATAATAATAATATAAATCCTGTATAATAATAATAAGAATATAAATCCTGTATAATAATAATAATATAAATCCTGTATAATAATAATATAAATCCTGTATAATAATAATAATATAAATCCTGTATAATAATAATATAAATCCTGAATAATAATAATAATATAAATCCTGTATAATAATAATATAAATCCTGTATAATAATAATAATAATATAAATACTGTATAATAATAAAAATATTGCCAAAACCAAGAAGATTCAGAGAAATGTGCTGCTACGTCCATCTGTATCCAACGGTGCCCCTCACTCCTGGTCCGCCCCACCATCATGATTAAAACGGGGGGCTTACCGTTGCGTTGTGGTCAGAGTGGTCAAACTGCACCTTTTAGTAGCTGACCGAACCCTTAGAAACCTACAAATCTCAGCATGCCCTAAGTAGCAATAAACAAGTATGCACAGCCCTGCAGGCATCTATACTCTGCACATCCCGCTGTCGCTCCATTCACACGCATGACAATACTATTTTATTTATTTCCTAAATAACAAAGGACACTTTACTGAGCGCTCACCTCCCAGACTCTGCCTCCGATGTCTCCTGAGATTTCATCTGGAAGGTAAAGGTTGCGGATTTCCTCTCGCTCTCCCTCACTGGTCTCTCATCTGCAAACAGTGACATACCTGGAGTTAGCTCTGCTCACCGGAGGTATGAAATGCTCTGCTGACCCCCTTCCCTCCTAGTTTCAGCTGAGTTGCTGCATGGCCGCTGCAGTGAGGAGTAATGGGCCTGGCTGACAGTTGGATGAACTGAACTTCATGCCTAAACCAAACAAACTCCTGGGGAAGCCATAGCAACATCCCAGGCCGTACACAACAGAAACCTGGCCAGGGAGCAGCCTGGACCTCCCGTCTACTCACCCTGTGGGTAAGATTGGTTTGGATTAACCTTTTCACCGCCTTGCATGACAAAAATCGATTGACTTTTACAAAGAGAAAAAAAAAATAAAAGCACGTCAAGCTGGAGTCCTCTGGGGATGTTAGAAAAACTAAGTCTGGCCATACATTATACAATTTTCTTCAGAATTTTGCTTTAGATTTACCAAAAACCATATAATATGAGGTCAAACCTAAGCAAAACTTTCAGTTGTATCCAATTAGGCCGGCCCTTGTACTACATAGTTGAAGGTAAATCTAAAGGAAATTGGGCAGAAATTGTATAGTATATAATCACAAATCATCAGAACCAAAGAAATGTGTATTAAAATTAAATGCTGCTGTACATAAGTGCAATATACACCAAAAAATATGAAAACATCACAAACAGCGCAAATAATTAATACTAAAGCAATAAAATTAAAAAATATTAAATCATATAAAATCATATAAAATTACATTTCTAAAATCAAAAAAATTATATGATTTAATATTTTTAATTTTATTGATTTAGTATTAATTATTTGCGCTGTTTGTGATGTTTTCATAGAAATTGTATAGTGTATGGTCATAGGCAGATCATTTTTTTTTTTTTAACCGGCCAGCAGGCTGATTAAAAAAAAGACAGATTCTGCCATTCACACTTATGAGGCGGATATAGGAATCCTCCATGCTGTGTAGTGGTGCACCAAAATGAAAATTCTGGTGCCGAAACCGAAAATTCTGGATGCACTCAAATCCAAAAAAATTCAGGAAAACAGAAACCAAAATGGACAGTTTTTAAAAATTTAATATAATTTTCAAACGCAATTTTTTGGGAAAAAATACACTTTAATGATTTAAAAAAATGTAATACATACCCCAATTTTTTTTGTAAAATACGAAATATGATGTTCCGCCGAGTAAATAGATACCCAACATGTCATAGCAAAAAAGAATAAAAGAGGGCGCACTCTCCTCGTGCATTACCGTGATAAAAAGAAATTTAATGTGATATAAACAAATGGATACTCACAAACCAATAGATAAAAAAACACAGAGAGAGAGACACAATTAACGGTCCCAGGTAGCGGGCATCCGCTAACGCATTTCGGGAGTCGAGCTCCCTTAATCAGAGCTGACTACCCAACATGTCATGCTTTGAAATTGCGCATGCTCATGGAATGGCATGAAACTACGGTACTTAAAATTCTCCATGGGTGACGCTTTAAACATTTCTACAGGTTACCAGAATTATTGCTCTTGTTCTGACGTTCTTGACGATACCTCACGTGTGGTTTGAACCCCATTTACATATGTGGGCGTGGCCTACATATGTATTCACCATTAAGCGTGAGCACAGGGGGACAGGGGCACTGTAAACTTTTTTTATTATTATTTTAGTACTTTATTTTTTTTTTTTACACTGTCCCTTTTAAAAAAAATTTTTTTATCACTTTTATTCCTATCACAAGGAAAGTAAACACCACCTGTGACAGAAATAAGCAGTGACAGGTCCTCTTTATGGAGAGATATGGGATCAATAAGGCATTTAAACTTTTTTTATTATTATTTATTTACCATAATTGATTTTTTTTATACTGTTCCTTAAAAAAATGTAATCACTTTTATTCCTATCAGAAAGAATGCATGAATCCCTTGTGATAGAAATAAGCAGTGACGGGTCCTCTTTATGGAGAGATCTGGGTCCATTAAGGATAGTTAGTGTTGGCTTTTCTTCCACTTTAAAGGATAAGTTCACCTTTTGCTAAAAAATAATAAATGCACATTTTTCTGCAGGTAAAAAAAATGTGCATTTATAATTTATTCGTTGCAGGAACCTGTAAACCAGGGGTGTCAAACTGGCGGCCCTCCAGCTGTTACCAAACTACAAGTCCCATCATGCCTCTGCCTTTGGGAGTCCTGTTTGTAACTGTCAATCTTGCAGTGCCTCATGGGACTTGTAGTTTGGCAGCAGCTGGAGGGCTGCCAGTTTGACACTCGTGCTGTAAACCATTGCACCAATGATTAGCAGATCTCTGGTGCCATACATGTCTCCTGCAGATCTGTCAGTATATCTGCTTGATTATATATGATGTACAGGCAAACAGATACCATGACAGGAAGAATGAATGAACTACCACAGCACTCCACAGTGTTGTGGTAGTTCATTGATCACTGCAAGCTGACAGCTGCTAAGGCTGTTGGGACTTCTCATTCACAGAGGACTGTGAATGAGTGCCACGGCCGGGTGGGCGGAGCCCAGCAAGGCCGCATTTCCTTTACATTTTTTTACAGCTAGCAGGAGAAGATCCCCCGATAGCTGTCAAAGCGGGGGAGTGGGTGTGACGGGAGTCACTTTGGGTGGGGGGCCCATGGAACCCATCTCACTTTGGAGAGGTGGGGAGACCCCTGTCTCAACTCCCCATATCCCTATTATGTGTAAGTCACCCTGTGCCTGTTTGGGGTACAGGGTGATCTGTTCTAATATTGGGGTGGAGGGTTGTGGATTGTTTGGTGTCATGTGGTTGCATCCCATTGTTCTATTGTGTGTCTTGCTTGTGAGCAAACTATTATGGGATGTATGTGTTTATGTGTATTGGCTTGGTAGGGGGTGTCTCCAGCAGCCCTCCCTCCTGATGGGACTGCCTGTTGGTGTGTCTCTTGTATCTGTGTTAACATAAAGTAGTCTACTCTGGTTTACTTCAAGACTGGTGTCATCTATTCTTGTATGGTCAGCTGTGGTGTCTGTGGTTGGTGTTCGGACGGGGAAGCGGTATTCTAACGGAAGTACCCAAGTGCAGTATGGGGTCGGTTCCGTTACAGCGGGGGCTGGTCTATTCATAACATGTTACACCCTGAATATGAGTATAACATGTTACAAAAGTGAATTATCCTTTAGGACCTCTCCAAACATTTCTCCACTACAGTCATGTACCCACCTAGTGTTTCCAATGTACCCGCCATGTGGATAACAAAAAGACGGTAATCAGCGTTCTGTCTGGTCACTGGATTCAGGCGCAGATCCAGAGTTTTCAGCTGTGCCAAATGTTGGAGATGCTTCACTTCCTCAAGAGATGCAATGTCATTATAATACAAGTTCAGGTAACAAAGAGAGTGTAAGTATTCAATTCCCTGCGAAAGCAAACCATAAAATGACTTTTATTACATGGCACCTCTTTATAATATGCAGCCTAGTCCCACACACAGCAGAGGAAAGCAATGTGTGGCCATTAGTTTGTTGACACCCGACCATCACATGTATAAGAGCTTGTTAGACATCCTATCCAAGACCATGGGCATCCCCACCCAATTAGACTGTAAGCTCTCATGACCAGGGCCCCCTTTACCCTCTTTGTATGGTAACTGTACTGTCTCTGTCAACTGTAGGGTTTTACCACCCCTCAACGGTGAGCCCTGAACAATTTAGAATACAGTGTTGTCACTAAGTGAACTCACCTGCAAACTGATTATTATATTTCTAGACAAGTCCAGGGAACGGAGACTTTTGAAGTTTTTAAATGCATCCCCCAAGTTGACAATCTTCTCTCGGTACGTCCCTTGTAGTGCCAGAGACTCCACCGTGCCTAGAAAGATGGTAATGAAGATTTTAAAGTGTTATTAACCCCAGGAACCTGCATTCACTATATCCGCTCTCCCCGGAGCCTGCATTCACTATATTCATTCTACCCGGACCCCGCATTCACTATATCTGCTCTCCCCGGACCCCGCATTCACTATATCCGCTCTCCCCGGACCCCTGCATTCACTACATCCGCTCTCCCCGGACCCTGCATTCACTACATCCGCTCTCCCCGGACCCTGCATTCACTACATCCGCTCTCTCCCCGGACCCTGCATTCACTACATCCGCTCTCCCCGGACCCCGCATTCACTATATCCGGTCTCTCCGGACCCCACATTCACTACATCCGCTCTCCCCGGACCCCGCATTCATTATATCCGCTCTCCCCGGACCCCGCATTCACTATATCCGCTCTCCCCGGACCCCGCATTCACTATATCTGGTCTCTCCGACCCCGCATTCACTATATCCGCTCTCCCCGGAGTGACCCCTGCATTCACTACATCCGCTCTCTCCCCCGGACCCCGCATTCACTATATCCAGTCTCCCCGGACCCCGCATTCACTATATATGCTCTCCCCGGACCCTGCATTCACTACATCCGCTCTCCCCAGACCCCGCATTCACTACATCCGGTCTCCCCAAACCCTGCATTCACTATATCTGGTCTCCCCAGACCCCGCATTCCCTATATCCGCTCTCCCCGGACCCCGCATTCACTACATCCGGTCTCCCCGGACCCCGCATTCACTATATCCGGTCTCCCCGGACCCTGCATTCACTATATCCGCTCTCTCCAGACCCCGCATTCACCATATCCGCTCTCCCCGGATCCCGTATTCACCATATCAGCTCTCCCAGACCCCGCATTCACTATATCCGCTCTCCCCGGACCCCGCATTCACTATATCTGCTCTCCCCGGACCCCGCATTCATTCACTATATTCGCTCTCCCCGGACCCCGCATTCACTATATTCGCTCTCCCTGGACCCTGCATTCAATATATCCGGTCTCCCAGGACCCCGCATTCACTATATCCGCTCTCCTCGGACCCTGCATCCACTATATCCGCTCTCCCCGGACCCTGCATTCACTATATCCGCTGTCCCCGGACCCCCGCATTCACTATATCCGCTCTGCCCGGACCCCGCATTCACTATATCCGCTCTCCCGGACCCCGCATTCACTATATCCGCTCTCCCCGGACCCTGCATGCACTATATCCAGTCTCTCCCAAGACCCTGCATTCACTATATCCGGTCTCCCCGGACCCTGCATTCACTATATCTGCTCTCCTCGGACCCCGCATTCACTATATCTGCTCTCCCCAGACCCCGCATTCACTATATATCTGCTCTCCCCGGATCCCGCATTATTTTAGTAAATATAAACTGCTAAATACCTTTTCTTATCAGCAGTATATAGCAGTCTTGTGACTTTATCAGTGTCCAGCAAAGCACTGGTTAAAGCTTGTAGGATTTTTCATTCTCCTCTGATTGTCTTATAAGACTGCAGAACCCCTGATCTCTGTCTGGACAGTGCTGATTGGTCCTGTGCTGATCACATGCACCCAACCACACAAACAACTCTTTAGCAATACACACCAAACTGAGCACGTGCAGCTTGCCCCCAAGGCTCTGTTCTATCAGCAGAAAGATTGTGGACAGTAGAAAAAGAGGAGGATCAGAGAAGACAGGATCAAACAGCCTTTTTACACAATGCAGAGGATTAACCCCTTAGGTTCCACAGTGAGTATAACAAGCATGCTTTACTGCATCTACAGACTGATTGTACTGTTGTGGGTTTAGTAACACTTTAAGTTGAGCAATGGACTTCAGATATTACAAAACTACAAGTCTGGAGTCTACCTGGAGGGGCATGATGGGAGTTGTAGTTCTTGGAAGGGCTGGAATGTAGTCCTTGGTTTGAATATTGTTACAGTTTATGCAAAGCTTTACATACTATATCAGAGGAGTAGCTCAAAGCTTGTGGGCCCCGAGGAAAAAGTTGACCTTGGCTACCGCCACCCCCCACACCACCACCTGGGAGGTCTGCTAGTTACACAAGGATGCTCTGTGACTCAGTGGCTCTCTCTCTCCTGCTGCATGTGCACACAAGGTGGGGGCAGACAGGCCACACTCTGACCTGCCGGATGAAAGTGATGGGCTTCTATGTAAAAGAGGAAACTCAAAGGGCCCGGCCTGCGCCCTGCCCGGGGTGGACTGGCCTTCTCCCTTTCAGATTCACACACAAGCCCACCGCTTTCACCTGGCAGCTCAGAATGTGGGCTGCCTGCCCCCCCACCTAGTGTGCACATGTGCGCGGGCTGAGCAGGTGGGAGGGGCTGTACCGGGCTGGGCAGGGGGGCTGACAATAGAATGGAGGAAAGGGCTTGTCCCATCAACCTGTGTAAGTGAAAGTGGAAACTCAGAGGACCCAGAATGGGCTTGGGTGGGCCCCTGCTTAGCCGGCATGGGCCCTCTGAGTTTACTGAATGACCTAAGCAGGTTGATGGGGCAAGCACATTACAACAACAACCCTCATTGAATGGTCATTAGTATGGCAGCTCTAGGGATGGTTGCTACAGGAAACATTATGGTTGCCATGGTGAACATATTAATGTTTAGCAGCCCTCTATGAATGGTTGCCATAGTGAACATTATTATACCAGCCCTCTATGGATGGTTGCCATGGTGAATGTTATAGCAGCCCTCTATGGATGGTTGCCATGGTGAATGTTATAGCAGCCCTCTATGGATGGTTTGCCATGGTGAATGTGTAGTATAGCAGCCCTCCATGGATATTTACTATAATGAATGTTATTATAGCAGTCTTCTATGGATGGATGGTTGCCATAGTGAACATGGCAACCATTCATAGAGGGCTGCTATAATAATGTTCATCGTGGCAGCCTTCCATCAATTGTTGTCATGGTGAATAATATTATAGCGGCCCTCCATGGATGGTTGCCATGGTGAATATTACAGCAGCCCTCTATGGATGGTTACCATGGTGAATATTATTATAGCAGCCCTCACAGGATGGTTACCATGGTGAATATTATTATAGCAGCCCTCACATGGATGGTTATCATGGTGAATATTATTATAGCAGCCCTCCTATGGATGGTTGCCATGGTGAATATTATTATAGCAGCCCTCTATGGATGGTTACCATGGTGAATATTATTATAGCAGCCCTCAATGAATGGTTGCCATGGTGAATATTATAGCAGCCCTCCATGGATGGTTGCCATGGAGAATATTATTATAGCAGCCCTCCATGGATGGTTACCATGGAGAATATTATTATAGCAGTCCTCCATGGATGGTTACCATGGTGAATATTATAGCAGCCCTCCATGGATGGTTACCATGGTGAATATTATAGCAGCCCTCACAGGATGGTTACCATGGTGAATATTATTATAGCAGCCCTCACAGGATGGTTACTATGGTGAACATTATTATAGCAGCCCTCTATGAATGGTTGCCGTGGAGAATATTATTATAGCAGCCCTCAGTGAATGGTTGCCGTGGAGAATATTATTATAGCAGCCCTCTATGGATGGTTACCATGGTGAATATTATAGCAGCCCTCTATGGATGGTTACCATGGTGAATATTATAGCAGCCCTCCATGGATGGTTACCATGGTGAATATTATTATAGCAGCCCTCAGATGATGGTTACCATGGGAGAATATTATTATAGCAGCCCTCTATAGATGGTTACCATGGTGAATATTATTATAGCAGCACTCAGAGGATGGTTACCATGGAGATTATTATTATAGCAGCCATCTATGGATGGTTACCATGGTGAATATTATTATAGCAGCCCTCCATGGACGGTTACCATGGAGAATATTAGCAGCAGCCCTCTATGGACGGTTGCTATGGGTCACAGCATGTCACTCTCTGCCCCGTATTAGTATTGTTACTCAGGGTGCTCCTGGTGTTACCTGCCCCCACTGGCTGCAGCCCGGCTCTCTCGCACACCCAACTCTCCTTCAAACGAACCCTCCTCACCGCCATCCCATTGAATGGGTGCAGCCTCATCAACACTCCCCATAGCAACGGCGGGAAACAAGCAGAGTGGAGGGAAAGGTTCCGGGGGAGAGCGGGACACGGCACCTGGATACACAGTAGCTGGGGGAGGGAGGAGTAACCAATAGAGGCAGCGACAACCGAACCGGCCTGCTATAGGACGCTGTCTGGAGAGATGCTGTTGTCATGGAGAAGGGGGCGGGGAAAAGAGTTCAAGCGAGGACAGGAGGTGTTCGGAGCCTATGTGGAGGACGGAGAGCCTGGGATGTCTGTTCACAGGATAGGGGGCGGAGATTTCTTGCCGCTTCCTGGTTCGCTAAAAGTCATTTGGGGCGGCACTTTAGTGCTAGAGGTGGTGGGCGTGTTTTTTAACTACAGTAAGACACACGGAGGGAGAAATCAGG